CCCAAAAAAAAAAAAAAAAAAAAAAAAAAAAGTACAATTAAAGGAGTACCCCGTATGTCTTCCCTTCCTATGGCATAGTATTTATTAACCATTACGGCTACTAGTAGGGGCAGAATCCAGTAGAAAACATCCCAAGAAGGAGGCTTCCTCCATGTCTTTGGTACAATACCCTAGAAGGAGAGTATCGACTTATTTTTGGAATTTATCAGAAATGACACATGGAATATAAACAGCTTGGATACATGCATATATTTAATAATGAAACAATTTGTTAACAACAAAAATAGTGCTGTGGAAGAGAAGGAGATATTAAGCAAAAAGCAACTGACCCATAAGGCTGTATGATGCGTGAAGCAAAGGCAAATGTGGTGAAGACAGCATTGTACACTCAAACGGTGAAGGACTGCAGAAGCACCCACTTGTCTGGCTGCTTGGTAGTAGGCAGCCTTACTGTATGCTGCACAGAATGGAGGCAGTGAGCCAGAGAAAGGCAAGAGAGAAGCGCCATCTAGACCTGGGATAATCAGATGGAAGAAACTGAGACAGAATTATGAAGAGATAACTTTAAGGCCTTTTGCTTTCTCCAAAGTCTAAATTCTGAAGTTTTTTGTTTGTTTGTTTGTTTTGGTACCAAGGATCGAACTCAGGACCTGTGCTTTCAAGGCAGGCACAATGCCACTGAGCTAAATTCCTGGCCCAAGTTCTTAAGTTTATAAGTATGTTGGTCAAATTTAATAATCACATAATGGGTGACATTAGGCACTGCGACAGGACGTGGGGGAAGTGGTTTATAAAAATAAATGAATGACATGGATCCTGCTCTCACAGAGCTTACAGCCTAAATGAGGAGACAGATCCCAGACAAAGAACAACTACAAAACATATTTACAAAGTAACATACATCAAATAAATACCCATATGAATAACTAACATAGGAAATCTAAGAGGTAATATGTCAGTGATTGCTTAAAGTCCTTAGGTCAGTCACTGAAGCCTTCCCAAAGGAAAAAATGTTGGTCTTTTAATTATGTTATAATGTCTCTCTTTATAGTACAGCATGTGCTAAGGTATATAAAGAGGAATGGATAGAGCATGTGTAGTAAGCAGACTGGCTTGATTAGAGTACAAAGTCCAATTAGGTCTAGTTAAGGAGTAGGATGAAATAGTGGAGGTCAATTAGGTGAAAGAGGCTGCAATGTTTGAAATGGTTCCTAGAACAAATGAATAGGGAATGAATGTGTTTGTCGAGTAAGGGTAAGTGGCCACACGTCCAGGACCAACTCCACAGCTCTCAAAGTTTGGCAGTTACTCTAAGAGACAGACATTAGCAATAGGATAAGAGAGAAGTATTCAGCTTCTTTGGGCAAGTCAAAGTAACTGCCTTGTGAGAGAACTCTTTCGAAGTGTCAAGACCCCTGAAGGCAATGAAGTAACAACAAAACAAAACAACCCTACAGATGATCATCTTCAAAAGGCAAGCCAGAGCCTGGTAATCTCAAGTGTTCAAGCAGGACATCCTGGACCCTTATTACTTACCCTTACTCCTAGAGGGGAGCAGAATGTGTATGCTTATGAAGTTATTTTTGAATTACCATGACAATCAACTTTGAACCTCACATTTTATAAACTGAGGATGAAAAGAGCCCTTATCTATAGGGAGTGCTCACGTCCCTGAAGGAGGACAGGTCAGTAAGGGCCCCAATTCTCCCCTGGTCTTTAAGTGGAAAGGCAAACATCACACCTTGAAGAGAGGCTGTACTCAGCCAAAGCAAGTAAGACCTCTTTCTTTAAGCCTATTGAACTGACGCTGTTCCAGGAAGGGGGGAAAACAAAAAGTTCGGGCCAGATGTTCAGCAGCAGCCGGAGTCAGACCCCACATCCCGAGAGTTCCGCTGGCAGGCACCCGGTCCGACTGATGTTGAAATTGACTGCTGGGGCCCAATCTTGATGCCATTTGCCTGTAAAATAACACAAGGCAGTAATTCTCACTTCAGGTCTAAAATGAATGGAGGAAAGGAGAGAATAAAGGAGAAATCATTAGTTATGTTTAAAAATAGATATAACCTTGGTAGATAACCATGCACCCAGCCAAACTGTTGTGGAACAATCATCTATGACAACAAAGTATAAAGTGACTGGTTGTGCTATAAGAATCACAGATGACACTGGAGGCTGAGGTAAAAGTTCACAAGTTTGATCCCAGCCTGCACAACTCAATGAGACACTGGCTTACAAACAATTTTAAGGGCCGAGGATTTAGCTCAGAGGCACTGCACCTGCCCTGCAAACACAAACTCCTGTGTTCAATCCCCAATACAAAAAAAAAAAAAAAATTTTTTTTTTTTACAAGACTAAGAATGTAGCTCAGTGTAAAGATCCTGGGTTCAATTCCCAATACCATACAAAAAACAAAATCAACTTAAATAAAACAGTGAGTTAGAGTTGGCTTTCGCATCCCTCTCCCTTTTTGAATTTGATTCTTGGTTCACTGTCATTTAATTGTGTCAAGCAGTGATGCTCCATCATTGTCTAGTTTTGTAATGTGTTTGATTTGCCTTTGCACTTGTGAGGCAGTCGCTGGAACCAGTGAGCTAAATCCCCAGCCCTTTTTTTTTTTTT